CCAGGGGACAGAACCAGGAAGGATCCCAGAGGGAGGAAGAGAACAGATCCCAGGAAGAGAGAAACTTCTGCGGTGACGTGGGGAATGGCGGTGGGTCCTCGCAGGAGGACCCGGGAGGGCTCCGCCTGCGCTCCCGGGGCCCCGGCAGAGAGCTTCTCACCAGGCAGGGCGGGGAGGCAGCGAGAGTCACGACTCCGAGAAGGAAAGGGAGATGCCGGAGAGGGGGCTCCAGGCCGATCCGGCTGCGGGTAGCGCAGAGGCCCTGCTCCGTGAACAGGTTCCCCGTGTTCCGGCTCCCCGAGGCCCCATCTCTATGGCTGCAGAAAGGCCTGACAGTCTCCTTCCCTCGGCACTGCCCGGAGTCTGGAAGCCACGAGGGCGAAGACCTCCTCGGTCCTTCCACCACAGTCGTGCCTCTTACTCAGTGTTCCCCGTGGCCGGAGCCTGGGGAGCCGCCAACAGCCGCCTGGGGAGGCTACTGTGGGACCGTGGGAATCGGCGATATTCAGGTTCAGTTTTCCCCCAACCACCGCGCCACCCTTGCAGCAACCTCTGGGGCAACAGGAAACAGCTGCTCAGTGCAGCCCCCACCTGGTGATGGGTCAAGGTGGGGGAGGAGAGAAAACAGAGACTTAAAAGGCCTGGGAGAAAATCGGGGGAGGAAAAACACCTTAAAAACGCTCCAACGCTACCAAAAGTGGGCTTTACTTTTGCGGGGGGCGGGGGGAGGCCAGCAGTGAGTACTGTAAAATATAACTTGAATCTCAACAGCTTAAATGGGAAGGAGCAAGGGTGGGGGGGAGGTAGGGAGAGCCGCGACCTTAGGTAGTCTCAGGCTCTTCCTTGAACCTGGAGCTTGCCAATGCTCACGAGCCTGTGGTCGGCAGCCCCACCGGCTGAGCCCTGTGCCCCTATAGTCCCTTTTCTCCTCCTTCACCCCCTAAAAGAGCAAAGGTTAGGCCCCACCCCTGCTGAGTCAGCCAGGGAGGGAGGCAGGCATCCCTCGGGCCTTTCCGGGGGGGCTGGCCCTCAAACTTACCCATGTCAGGCGGGCAGGCCGGGCTCCGGGGCTGGGACCACCCAGCTCCTCGCCGTCCTTGACTCCCCCTTCACGTGAAGGCTGGCGATCCTCCCAAACTGAGCCGGGAACTAGCACGAATCGAAAAGCCAATGTATGCTTCCTGCAAACCACAGCCTGAACTGCTGTAGGGTGATGTCCCTGTGTGACAGACTGGGGTGGAGAGGGAGGAGGGAAGGGCGGGGCTTTCTCTGGGTGGAGAGGGAGGAGGCGGCGAGGACAGGGCAGAACCAGGAGAAATATGGAGGGAGGTTAGATCTGTGTTGACTCTCCAGGGCCTTGGTAGGAAAAGAGAGTGGCAGAGGGGGGAGGAAACAGTTGCATCTAGTAAGAGGGAGAAGGTTCTCGATGAATGCTGAGAAACGTGGACGTCCGAGGGGCGGGGATAGAGGGATACAAATGACCTTTAGAATCACAGTTCCCAGGTCTGCATCTGGGTAACATGGGAAAGCAAAACAGAAAGGGCTTACCCAGTCCCTTGGGCCTTCTGAATCAGCTCCTTACCCACTCCAGAGCAAGGACCTAGTGTCCCCACCTCCGGAACTCGGCATTTCCCCAAATCCAGGTTTTTCTGGAAACAAACTACTGGGCACAGGTGGCTCAGGGGCTCCACCTTCCGTCCAAAACATGACACACAAGAGAGTGGTGCCAAGGACGTCATAAGACAGATGGGAGTAAACTTGGAGGACCCTACCCCACCCCTGGCGCCTCTCCCAAAGCCCCTCCCCAACCTTCAGCCCCCAAGGGCCTCTGAATTGGGAAGTTTGTCCCCACCCTTCTCTGGCCAACTTGAAAGCCTCAGGGGTGGAGCTTATAGATGTAGCCTCCTCCTCAGGACTAAAGCTCGCGTTTGTAAACAGTCATTAGCTAAGAACCACATCTCAGCAAATGGCCTTCAAGTTTCAAAATGGTGAGATCAGTTCTTGCAGTCTCCAGTCCTGCCACCAGAGGGAAGTAGATGGGTCCAGGCCAGAAAACTTCAGGGGCACCAAATCCGACCTTGCACTGTAATAGGCACCTGTTTCAAACTAAAATGCCTGTACTTGAGTTCTTCTAACCCTGAACCTTTTAGTGGGAAATTATCTAATTCCATTACAGCTCAGAAGTCCAAGCCCGGGAACCCTGGAAACTGCTCTTCTCCTGTAACACACTTTCCTCAACTTTAGTAAGGGGTCTGTCTTTGCGGAGCTACGGATAGGCCTCATGGCATTTTATACCCTGCATTGCCTCAATCACATACAAGTCAAAGCTTGCCCAAAATATAAATCAGGAAGCAGAACACTTTCTGGAAAAAAATGGTCTAGGTATAGTAGAGAAAATCCTTTTGAGTCAATTTTTACACAGATCAGTATTAACCCTTCAGAACATGCACCACCATTTCCTAAAAATTAAATGCATACATTGATTAACCCTTGCCTTTTTTTAAAAACAGCAGTTTCTAAACCCAACCCCCTTTCCCAATGTGCACTTCTAACAAGACCCACAGTTGTCCATCAATCCAAGACTGGTTGGGTTTTTTTTGGGGGGGGGGGGCGCCCATTTTAAACATATGGCCTACTTTGTGAGGTTTTGTGTGGCAACTCTAAAATTACTGTTAAAAACATCAGTGTTGCCCTAACCAGTCTGGCTCAGTGGATAGAGCATCAGCCTGCTCGATTCCGGTCAAGGGTATGTACCTTGGTTGTGGGCACATCCCCAGTAGGGGGTGTGCAGGAGGCAGCTGATCCATGTCTCTCTCTCATCAGTGTTTCTAACTCTCTATCCTCTCCCTTCCTCTCTCTAAAAAATCAATTTAAAAAAAAGCTGCTCAACTTAAAAAAACAAAACAGAATTAACTTCAGTGTTGGCTGTGTTGTTAGGACCAAGAAAAACAGATTCGGAGAGATGTACATTTTATTGGAAACCTTACTCTTCAGACAGAACACAATGTCTTCAATCAAGGCTCTCACGTGCCTTAACAGAGAAAACTGAACTTTTGGGATTGGGGTCAAGGAGAGACAGCTTGGAGGAAGAGTGCTGGGATCCCCTCAAGAATGCTCTTCGGCCAGTTTAGCAGCTTTTGCCACAGCTTCTTCAATGGGCCCCACCATATAGAAGGCCTGTTCTGGGAGATGGTCATATTCACCTGTAGGGATCTGTTGGAATCCTTTGATGGTCTCCTTCAGGGGTACCAACTTCCTGGTGAGAAGTGGAGAGATATCAACTTTACATCCCCACTTGAGGCTACCAGTCAGAATGTGATGAATTCATCTAGAAATCTTTTCTCAGCAAGCTTCCCTCACAAATCGAACTTACAGGACATGATACAGTATGGATTAAGAACAAATGATCTGGAGACACATATTCTGGGTTCAAATTCTTGCTCTATACGTTGGCTGCAATATTGGGACTGGTTATGTTAAACCTTCCTGTGTTATAAGTCCCCTAATTTGTAAAACAAGATAATGCCTTCCTCATAGGATCTTGTAATTCACTTAGAAGAGTAGCTAACACTGAATGCACTCAGTGTTGGCTGATAAATAATACATGTCTCACTCTCAGAATACAGTATTTCCAAAGAAAATTAATGGGAAATAGCTTGTTTCATTTTTTAAAATTATGTAATTAGGCGCGATATATTTATACATTGTCTGATGGCTGCTGCAATCTTAACATTACACAGCAAGCATTCAAGAGATTTCAGTTTCTCTGCCACTTATGTGCAGGTTTATACTTGAAATCTCACCTGCCAAAATCTGTTGGAATCCTTTGATGGTCTCCTTCAGGGGTACCAACTTCCCCATATGACCTGTAAAGACCTCAGCAACCTGGAATGGCTGAGACAAGAAACGCTGTATTTTCCGTGCACGGGACACAGTCAACTTGTCTTCCTCAGAAAGTTCATCCATACCCAGAATGGCAATGATATCCTGGAGGGATTTGTAGAGACCCCATTAACATGCACTAGAAACTGTCTGTCTCATTTTTCCTTGCTCTAAAGCAAAGCATAGAAGTCACCAGGGAAGACCTGATCCTAATACAGTCCCTTAATTCCCTCTGTATGATTTTATGGACACTAATCTCACCTGCAATAATACTCACCTGTAGGATCTTTTGCACCCCACGGGCAACATCATAATGCTCGTTGCCAACAATGTTGGGATCCATGATGCGAGAGGTGGAATCTAGAGGATCCACAGCTGGGTAGATGCCCAGTTCAGCAATAGCACGGGACAACACTGTGGTAGCATCCAAATGGGCAAAGGTAGTGGCAGGGGCAGGGTCAGTCAAGTCATCGGCAGGCACATAGATAGCCTAAAGTGAGTCAAAAAGCCATGAGGAACAACAGAAGCCAAAGCTAATTAATTCTACTTAAGCCATCCCCTTTCCTAACCTGTCCTCATTCTCACTCCATCTTAGCAATCAAGAGTCCACCTCAAAAGAACCTTCTTACCACCCTAATAGCGGCTGAGTTTACAGATTATCTGGTCCCTGTAAGCTGTAATGAAAGAATTTATATTGTCATTCCTTTAAAAAAATGTTTGTATTGATTTCTGAGAGAGAGGAAGGGAGAGGGACTGAGATATAGACACATCAATGGGAGAGAGATCGATTGACTGCCTCCTGCACACCCCATACTGTGGATGGAGCCTGCAACCCAGGCATGTGCCCTGACCGGGAATCAAACCAGCGACCACATGGTTCATGGGTCGATGTCCAACTACTGAGCACACCGGCTGGGCCATTCCTTCTGTTTTTCATCTACATTTTAACTCTATTATAGTCATACCCACTTTCTGAATTAAAACAAAAAAACCTTGAACCACAGTTCACTAGAAAAATGAATCATGAAAGTTACCACACAACTTAGACACAGTTTTATAATTTTACTATAAACACCATATATAAACATTTAAAAATTTGTAGTACATTAATGCAACACATTTACTGCTCAGTTTCCATGTAGTTTGACTCTCCCTCAGGCTGGAAACCACTACTTTGTGATCTACATTTATTCAACTATTTTAGATGAATGTTTAACCTTTTAGCATTTTTAACATGAACATACAGAATTTTACCCTTAATTTCAGGGAGCACATGAACCCAGTTAAAGGCCTCTTGAGATGTAAGTAACTAAGTTTGATGCTTCTCAGTACATGCCTTTATACAAATTAAACCTTCATTTACTTAATTGTTCTTACCTGTACAGAAGTGATAGATCCCTTCTTGGTAGTGGTGATTCTTTCCTGCATGGTACCCATATCAGTAGCCAGGGTAGGCTGGTAGCCTACAGCAGAAGGGATTCTGCCCAATAAAGCAGACACCTAAAAAAAAAAAAAAGAACTAAGAACGAAAGGTCTTAGGTATCTGTATCTTCAGCCTCATTTGCATCATCCCATAGAAAGGTTAAATGAACTAGCTCTCTTACCTCTGAGCCAGCCTGGGTGAAGCGGAAGATGTTATCGATAAACAGCAGTACATCTTGGCCTTCTTGGTCTCTGAAGTATTCAGCCACAGTCAGTCCAGTCAGAGCGACCCGGGCACGAGCACCAGGTGGTTCATTCATTTGACCGTACACCAGTGCGACCTGCAATAATCATACACCATCAGAAAACTTGAATGTGGAGCCCAGGGATCATTGACGCAGGCTCCAGAGGCAGACTTATCCAAATGTAGGAAACTCGACTGCATAATTAGCGGTCGTGGGGGATTGTTAGCACTCTCCCCTAGCAAAAAGAAAATCCGACAGAGGAGTATGGAAGCCATATATCCCAAGGTCCCCAAATCAGTTAAACTACAAAAAAGCTCCCTTCTCAGAAGGTGTTAATGTATTTATTCACAAGTTTTGTTTCCTTTTAGAGTTGCAGTTCAAAACATAAAAGATAATTTCTTGTATCACTGAGGTAAGTCTGAAAATTACTGAGGTAGTAGGAAGGAAATAAACTCTCCCCAAAATTAGCTTTCAAATGATGGGTCTATCTACCATAAAAAGTCTGGAAAAGTAATCAAATGTGCACCAGCAGTGTATTACAAATTGGGGGGAAAACACTGACAGGAATTTCCTTTGTAGGTCTTGGGACACTAAAATGAAAACAAACCAGGGCTTCTGCTAGCAATGCAGTAATTTCCTAGCACACCTACTATGTGAGCATTAATGAGTTCGGTGCTCACCTTGGAGGTAGCATCTTTTAAGTTGATAACACCAGACTCAATCATTTCATGGTATAAGTCATTGCCCTCTCGTGTTCTCTCACCAACACCAGCAAACACAGAATAACCACCATGGGCTTTGGCAACGTTGTTGATTAACTCCATGATCAGTACAGTCTTGCCAACTCCTGCACCACCAAAGAGCCCTGGGAGAGGTTGAGAAAAAAGAACAGTTAAGAGTTCTATATTCCTAAAGAATGCAAATTAAAAAAAAAAAGTTCTTTCCATCTTTTTCCCTCTCAGAAATGGCATCTGGCTTCAGCAAACTCAGAAGAACGAAAGTCAGAAGCTATTCATCAGCAAGGGGCAGATCCTCAGTACCCACTCATAACATGGTAGGATTTTTTTCTCCCCACACTGTTTGGAAAATATGCACCCACCACTAACATACCAATTTTGCCACCCTTGGCATAGGGAGCCAGGAGATCCACAACCTTGATACCAGTAACCAAAATTTCCTGCTCAACACTCATCTCAACGAACTCAGGAGCCTCAGCATGAATAGCAGCAAATCTACAAAGGCAGAAGAGAAGACCAGTGTCTATTCATCTTGTTGAAAGGTTCCTCTCAATTCTCAAGTGTAACCCTTTACTTAGTCTCATCTCCTCTTACCAAGGGGAATTTCATTATCTTGGGAAACAATAATCCCTTCACCTGCCAACTTTAACTGTCATAAAGATTTTCCTTTGCCTGGCCAGCGTGGCTCAGTGGTTGAGCATCGACCTATGAACTAGGAAGTCACAGTTCGATTCCCAGTCAGGGCACATGCCCAGGTTGCAGGCTCGCTCTGGTGGGGCATGCAGGAGGCAGCCCTTCGATGATTCTCTCTCATCATTAATGTTTTCTCTCTCTCCCCCCCCCCACCCCGTCCCTCCTTTCCTCTCTCTGAAATCAAAAAAAGATTTTCCTTTACTGAGTCCTAACCTAACAGCACTTCTCCACACACGAAACATGCAAGTTCTGGAAATCTCACAACATAAGCCATCGGCATTAAAACTCACTTAAATAATCAACTTGGGTCCTAAGCAGGTGTTTTTTTCTACCATCAGAATTTCTGCATCCTTAATTTTCTTCAAAAGAAATTCCATTGTGTAGCTTTAATAATCGAATATGACAGCCTTTTAAGTATTCTCCACAGAAAAATTCTGCCATACTAAGAAGCGTCACCTAATGTATAACACTGCAAGAAAAAGCAGTTCCTCTGTGTATAGATGCAGCGAGAGGATACTTACTGTTTGGTTTTGATGGGGCCTCTCTCATCAATAGGTTCTCCAATGACATTCATAATTCGGCCCAAGGTCTCAGGACCAACGGGAATTCTGATGGGTGCACCAGAATCCAGGACTTTCTGGCCTCTAACCAAGCCTTCTGTACCATCCATGGCAATGGTCCTTACAGTGCTCTCACCTGTCAGATAAAGGCATTGCTGCAGGGTGGTACATACAACCAACATGGCTTCATGGTATTTAACATAGTGTAGGTGGCATGGAAGACATAAGTCAACCAAGACTCCTTCTCAGTACCGAAAGGTGGCTTCAGCAAACTCAGAAGAACGAAAGTCATTTTGATAAAATCATCATGGAAGGAAAACAGCCGGGATCGGGGCCTATGTGAGCTAAACTCTACTATCCCTGACAATTCTACTTACCCAGGTGCTGGGCCACCTCCAACACCAGCCTGGTCTCCCGGCCTTGCACTTCCAGGGCGTTCAGGATGGGCGGCAGTCCCTCGTCGAACTGGACGTCCACCACCGCACCGATGACGGCCACGATCCGCCCGGTGGCGGCGCCTGGCTTAGGCGCCGGGGACGTCTGGGCGGCATAGTCTCTGGCTAACAGACAAGAAAGATTGGCAGGAGCTGGGGTCGGGGCAGTTAAAAGGTCACTGGGGGCCCGGACTCAACCCACAAGGTCTGGAGAATTCAGCCCAAGCCCGACCTCCTTCCGCTTGCAGGGAAGGCGTGTCCGGAGGGAGGGCCGTGCAGGAACCCAAAAGCGCCTGCACAATTCTCCATCTTCATACACAAAACCCCATCATTCGTGAGTTCGGTGTCCCCATTCCACGGGAAGGTCATTGCACCTGCCCGCACTTTTCCGTCACACTGCGCCTCCCTTTTCCGAAATTAGACGGAATTCGATGGAAGAAAGCGCCCCTGGATGAACCGTTCTTGTTCTCCATCCGTTAGAGGGCAGGGAGCGGCCATGGCGTTCTTCAAGCACCGGATACCCTAGGCCCGAGCGACAATCGCCCTGGCTCAAGGTCATGGGGCTGCAGAAACAAACCCAGCTACTACAAAAAGGCACTTACCAGGCTGGAGCACTGCCGGGGCGGCCCGCAGTAAGAGCTGGGCTTGGGGTAACGGCGCTGAGGGGCTGAGTCCCCGCAAGGCCCCGGAGGCCGAGGCTGCGGCCACACGACCCACAAGACCCAACATGGCGGAGTCCGGGTGGAGACTGAACACAGCAGCAGTAGCGGCCGCCAACATCTCGGCAATGGGGGCGAGGCCTACTCTGCAGTAGGCACGCCCATTGGGTGAGTTTGCTGCTCATCATCAGCAGCGCTGCTCCTATAGGTTAATAATCTCTCATTTTCTCAATCATTGGTCAAAATTGGTGCTAATCTGAATTCCTTTTTTTTACTGGACATGGTCAGGCTAGGTGCAACCCTCAGAGCCTCAAAGCTTAATTGGACGACAGGGACGTCAGTTAGAGGCAGTACTTGGCGGAACTACGTTTAGGAAGGGGGCCGAGTTCCTGTCGGGAAGCACGTGGGCGGTAGGGCTGCCCTTGGGCTCTCTCCTCAGATAGGACCTTGAGCTGGATGACAGTGTCGGGGGCGGGGGTTCGGGAAGTGGTGTCTTAGTTCAGCACCGCTGATGGTGACCTTGGCGAAGTCATGGCCTTTTCTGAGAGTCAAAACACGACTTTCCTCTTGCAGTAGTGAGGTTGGAAGCTTACAGACAGCTCAGCAGGTCAGCAATCCCGACAAATATAAAGCTGTACAATGAAATCAGTTAATGTCAGCAGTCTTTAATGTGCTAGGCATTAAAGAGATATAAATAAGACCTAGGAGGTCCCTTTTAAGAAAGAGGAGCAAACAATGCAGTGAAGTGTGATGAGTCCTGGTTAAGTGGGTGCACGAAAAAGGAGGGGATAAATTTGGGTCGCCTAGAGATGTGGGGAATTGCCTCAGAGTGGAGGAGGCTGATAGTTGGGAAACAGAAATTCCTTGGGTAAATAAAAAGGAGGGATATTACAAGCACACCTTTGCATAAAATAGCATGTTCCTTTTGTGGAAATACAGGTGAGGAAGGGAAAAAGAAAGAGTAGCAAAGAGAGGAGTATAAAAAGAGAAACAGGAGCCAGGTCTCGGCTTTGGATGAGAGTGGAGGCTAGGTAGAGGTAGATGTGTGAAAGTGTTCCTTGAGTATGGAAAATCATAAAATAAACAGGGCAGTCTTTTCTGAAGTATTGATTTTATTCAGAGCTTTTTGGGGGCAGGATGGGAGAGACTCTCAATCTGTTAGAACAAACATGACCATATGGAGTAGTTTGGCATGGAGCTATCTTCCCCAAACTTTCTCCCACCAGCCCACATTAGTTCTCATTTTTCTGCATATAGTGAAAAAGTTTTCTCTTTGGCAGTGTAGGGATACTATTGAAGGATTTAAAGGAGAAAACTGGAAGAGAATGTTAAATTTGAGGTGCTTATGGTAATCGTGCCTAGTAAGAGGGATAGAACCCAAGGAAAACAACAACCTGTATGGAGCAAGCAAAGAAAAATGAACACAAAAAGAAGCAGCAGAGGAATAAGAGGACCAAGGACATTGATGTTAAAAATCAAGGAAAGAATATTGAGAAAGGTGGTTAATAATATCAATCACATAATCATATAAAATAAGAGCTGAAAAGGACCTACTCAATTTGGCAACCAGGAATTCATTCCATGGTGAAGTGTATCAAAGATAATTTCAATGAACTGCATCAATTAACACCAGATATAAAATTAATTATCTGTGCTCTTATGGGGGTAAGGAGGGGGCGTTGCAGGAAGCAGCCAATTGATGTTTCTCTTTCACATAGATCAGCGGTTCTCAACCTGTGGGTCTCGACCCGTTTGGGGTTCGAATGACCCTTTCACAGGGGTCACGTGACCTAAGACCATCAGAAAACACATATATAATTACATATTGTTTTTGTGATTAATCTCTATGCTTTAATTATGTTCAATTTGTAACAATGAAAAGACATCCTGCATATCAGATATTTACATTACGATTCATAATAACAGTAGCAAAATTACAGTTATGAAGTAGCAACGAAAATAATTTTATGGTTGGGGGGGTCACCACAACATAAGGAACTGTATTAAAGGGTCGCGGCATTAGGAAGGTTGAGAACCACTGACATAGATGTTTCTCCCTTTCCCTTTCTTTCTAAAAATGAATAAAAACATGTGTTTGTTTTTAAAAAGGACCTATATCCCAGGTGATGTGGCTCAATGGTTGAGTATCGACCTATGAACCAAGAGGTCGGTCACGGTTGGATTCCTGGTCAAGGCATGTGCCCAGGTTTCAGGCTTGATCCCCAGTGTGGGGCGTGGAGGAGGCAGCCAATCAATGATTCTCTCTCATCATTAGTGTTTCTCTCCCTCTCCCTTCCTCTCTTAAATCAATAAAAGTATGTTAAAATAAACAAAAAAACCTATATATTTCACTTGCTTCCCTCAACTAATAGAGATAAAGTTTCTATAGATAGGATAGGATATTCCTTAAGAGCACTGCCACTGTAGCCATGTCATTGGGCAAGTTATTTAAAATCTCTGTTCAGGCACTTTCCCTCCAGGGAGCACACCTACCCTTTCTTCCCTTTCAAGAGAGCATCTCCTAAATTCTAAGGGTCCTCAGGAGACTTGCAACCAGCAGAGCAATGGGCTACTGCAGCTCATCCTAGGCCAGCGGTCGGCAAACTACAGCCGCGAGCCACATGCGGCTCTTTGGTTCCTTGAGTATGGCCGCGATGTTTCAATCACACTGTACGTGCGCGCCCGCATGTGGTATTTTGTGGAAGAGCCACACTCAAGGAGTCACAGTTTGCCAACTACTGTCCTAGGCTAACCCCCTGAACCTGTCCCCAAGTTCCCCTTGTCTCTGACTTTCCAGTGAGCCAAAGCAGCTCCACCTGGGCTCTCTCCTATTGCTTTTCCTATCCTAAGCCCTTCCTTGTTTCACTGTCCCTAGCTTTAATAAATGTACTCTCAGTAACATAAGATCTCTGTACATCACTTTCCTCATCTATAAAAGAGATAATAAAATGGGAATAATCTCATAGGGTTGTTTTGAGAAATAACTAGATTAATACATGAAAGAAGCATTTAGAACAAGCATGTCAAACTCAAAGGCTAACATGGGCCAAATAAACAAGGTTTAAGTTTATGTGGTCCACAAAAAAAAACAAAAGCTTCAATTTTCATAGAAAAGTAGGTTTATTTCGATAGAGATACGCTCAATACAAAGGGCTGAAATAAATGAGTGATCATTAACATAAAATAGAACATTTTAATAAAAATTAATTTTTTCTTGAACATTAACTTACCAGACACTGAATAACTGCACAAATTAATAAGTGTAACGCAAATAAACCTATTTTTCTTGTTCTCCAAAAGCAAAACACTTCCTGTTGCGCACACCAAACAAGTCAGTCCAAGACTAGTGATGTGTCAATCGGCTGCTGAAATATTCGCTGCTAGTATTAGTGGAGAAAAATGGTGTGCCTATGCATAAAGGAAATGAATGCAACATGATTATAATAATTGGTCATTAGCGAATGTTGTAGTTTGTTAATAATTATGTATAACAGGATATTGTAAAAATTAAGTTACAAAATTTTTATTGAACGTTTCTTACATACTGTTATATTGACTGGGCCGCAAAAATATTCATTGTGGGCCACATGTGGCCCACAGGCCTCGAGTTTGACATGCTTGATTTAGAACAATGCCTGGCATACAGTGATATTTGTGTCAGCTAGTATTTTTAGTTATTATTGACTTAGTGGTAAGATCCTTTGGTCTCAGTCAAAATTTTATTAACCATTAAACAGTTAAACTGACACTTCACTTAATCCAGGTGTCAAAGTAAAGATTTTCACATAAATTCCCAGGTAACTGAAACTCATCACTTTAAAATCATCACTTTAGAGAGCAAGAGAGAGGGAGATAGAAACATTGATGAAAGAGAAACATCATCAATTGGCTGTATTCTGCATACCCTCTACTGGGGACTAAGCCTGAAACCAGGCATGTGCCCTAACCAGGAATTGAACCATGTGACCTCTTGGTTCCTGGGTCGACACTCTACTCCGAGACACATGGGCTGGGCAAAAATATTTTTAGAAAGGAAGGAAGAGGGCCAAAACCGGTTTGGCTCAGTGGATAGAGCGTCGGCCTGCGGACTGAAGGGTCCCGGGTTCGATTCCGGTCAAGGGCATGTACCTGGGTGGCGGGCACATCCCCAGTGGGAGATGTGCAGGAGGCAGCTGGTCGATGTTTCTCTCTCATCGATGTTTCTGACTCTCTATCTCTCTCCCTTCCTTTCTGTAAAAAATCAATAAAATATATTTTAAAAAAAAAAGAAAAAAAGAAAGGAAGGAAGAGGGAGAAACATTGATGGGATGAGAGCAGAACATCCATGGGCTATCTCCTCGGAACATGGAATGACGCCCAATTGAGCAATACCTGCCAGGGCTAAAACACCACTTTTTTAAAAAATATATTTTATTGATTTTTTACAGAGAGGAAGGGAGAGAAATAGAGAGTTAGAAACATCGATGAGAGAGAAACATCGATTAGCCGCCTCCTGCACACTCCCCACCGGGGACGCGCCCGCAACCAAGGCACATGCCCCCGACCGGAATCGAACCCGGGACCCCCCTGAGTCCGCAGGCCGACGCTCCATCCACTGAGCCAAACTGGTCAGGGCTAAAACACCACTTTTTGAAAAGTTATCACACATTTATCTGTTCTCTTAGCAGATTATCAAGTAAACTTTTTCTTTGACATTTGAGCTATTAAATCTTTGTATCATATTGCAAAGCTAAATGCTTAAATGCTACTGAAGTAGATATATAGGTTGTCCCCCGCATATGCATATACCCTTTAGAGCTGATAGCTCAATTGTTGTTTCTTTTAAGATTTAACCCATTGGAATTAATCATTATTCAAAATGTGTAAATATTTTGTGGGACACCCTATATCAGAGGTGGGCAACCCCTGGCACGCGTGCCAAACATGGCACGCCAGGCACTTTTGCTGGCACTCGAAACCCTCTCTTATAATCTTCCATTTACAATTTTTTTCTTAATATTGACTTTTTTAAAAAATATATTTTAT